TCCACTGATGCTTCTTTGCGTCCTTGGTTTGGACTGTCAAGAAGTCTTTCCTCCATTGAGCTGCGTAGGTGTGTTTGGCCTGCTTGTACAAGGAGCGCTCTTGCTTCAGGCAGTCCTCCAGATCAACCGCTGACTTCCTCCAAGCTTGTGGCAACCCTGTCTTCTTCATCAACCGGCGAACTTTGCGCGAACTCACACGGCAACCCTTCTTGCCTTTCAACAGAAGCTTCCACAGGCTCATACAATCCCAGAATTCCTGCATTTTTGGTGACCAGGGAACTTTACCTGGAGCTAAGACCCGGCACCTCTCTTCCGCCTGGCGCCTCACAGAATACATTTGTCTGTGTAAACAGTTGTATTTGCGCACCAAGGAAGGGGTCATCTGGCGTCCCAGGTGGTCAATACGCTGATTCAGCTTATTCAATCTCTCCGGGATGGAGTACTTGGCATAACCTTTGTGAACAAATTGAAGATATTTGCGTACGGACCGAGAGTCTTGGAGGGACAACTTCCGTGGCGTGAAGTTGGATTTCTGAGGTTGGAAGTTGCCCAAGGAGGCGGAAAGATCAATGTCAATCCACAATCCGCAATGATTGCAATCAAAGAATTTGTCAAAGGCGTAGTACCCACCCGCAAGGATTGGTACGCCCAAAGTGGTGAAGATACCATCAATCGGAATGTTCTGTTGGTTGCGCTGGTGGGTCGCTTGTGGTGGATGGTGTTGTAGGATCGCCTCCTCAAGACCGCAGGCCCGGAAGCGGTGGCGGATAGACTGGGGTGCGTTGACAGTGACATCCTCGTTTGCATCTATACCCAAAACCACCTCGCATCCTTCATCATGCCATTTGGTGATTTGTTTGCAAAGATTGTCCACAAAGGCTTTCTTTGGATTAGCTTTTCGATTCACTGCATGAAAGTGAAGCCTGTGTTGTCCCCATACTGTAGATCCACCGAGGCCTTGCTTGTTGGGACGATACGCGGAGACCACCACCAAGTCCTTGGAGATCGGACCACGAACTAAGTCATGTACCTCAACCAAAGAGTCCTCACCTGCATTGATACCACTGTGCGTTATTGCTCATGTATTCCCGTGCATAACCTGAAGACTGACCCTGTATTTGAAGCATTGGATAAGATATTCCGCCGCTACAACAAGGCAGGCTTTCAAGTCAAGATCATCAAGTGTGATCGGGCGTTCATTCCTCTCACGGATGATGTGCTAGACGATATGGGTGTTACTATTGACCCGACTGCAGCTGGAGACCACAAGCCTACCGCTGAGCGAAACAATAGGACGCTGAAAAAAAGAGTCGGAGTAGCTCTTGATTACCCTACAAAGTGGTCCCAAAGGTGATCACTGAATGTCTTGGACGTCGAGCCGCCGAGCTATTAAATGTCTTCCCCCAGAAAGACAGTATCTCATCACATTTCAGTATGCAGCAACTCATTGATAATGTCAATATCAACTACAAGAGTGACATGGCTGCTGAACTTGGACAATATGTTCCTGCAATTGGGACGGATTCCAACAATTCGATGGAACCCCAAAGTATCAAAGCAATTTACATTGAACCTACAAAGGCACAATGTACTGGGCACCGAGTGCTCAACCTCAATACTAAAAAGATGATTTCCCGACCCAAGGTCGTTGTACTACCCGTCACCGACCAAGTAATCCAGCGTGTTGAAGCTTGGGCTGCTGCCAAAGGTGTTGCGTCCATGAAGTTCTTCAATAAGAAGAGAGATTTGGAGACATTTCAAGATGGCAATCAAATCGCAGGAGTGGATGACACGGAACAAGGTTACTTAGAAGAAGCCTTTGATCAGGACTATGAACCTGAAGATGAAGATGAACGTGATTTCAATCTACATGGACAATTTGATGATATCGATGACTCTGAAAGAGAAGAGCTCTTGGCAGATGCAGACAATGATGTCGATGATATGCCAGAACTCACTGTCAGATTCCAAGGAGATGATGACTATGAATCAGACGACAATTCAGGTGATGAAGGCAACAAAGAGGAAGAACCTATTGTGGCCGATTTGGATCACCATCAAGAAAATGTCGATAGAGGAACCAATGATATTGGGAGCCTCGTTACTGATCTGGAGGACCTACAAGAGCCGCCAGAAGAAGAGATTGTATTTGAGCCTGAAGAAATGCCTCAAATAGCAAAGGTCACTCAATCTGGGCAAACGTATGCGCAAGCTGCAATGTCTGGGCTGAACCTTTCCCAAGTTCCAAAGAGACCAAGAGAATTGCCTTCAAGCAGGAGTGGCAGTTCTGACAATAAGAACAAGAATCAAGTTGTGACAAGACGCAAGCATCAAGAAAGAGAATTGAAACTGTTGAAGAACAAGTTAAAATCTGGTATTCATACCAAAGTAGGAAGTCGCAGTACTAAAGACAGTAAAGCTATCCTTGAAGCAAAGCACAATCTATGTTTCCAACAGATTGGGAATAAGATGAAAGCTGATTATGAAGAGCACGACGCTATTCTGCTCGCTTGTTGCATGATGCAGATCAAGGCCAAGTTTGATACTGACGAAGGTCTGAACTTCATTCAACAGTATTACATCAATCAAGCACTGAAGAAGTTTGGTGATGATGGAAAGGATGCTGTGGATAAGGAATTGAGACAAATGCTCCTGAGAGATTGTTTCACTCCCGAATTTGTTAAAGACATGACCGCGTCTGAGCGAAAGAAGGCCCAATCAGTGATGATGTTACTCGCGGAGAAGCAATTCGACAAGACAATTAAAGGTCGCCTAGTATACCAATTCAATGGAACTCGTGAATGGTTATCGCGAGAGGACACTGCAAGTCCAACTGCTTTGCAGGAAGCAATCACCACTACTTGTGTTATTGATGCACACGAAGGTAGAGATATAATGACAATGGACGTACCTAACGCTTTCATTCAAACTTATATGCCTGATGCTAAGGA